CCCCAACCACCACCTTTTTTTTCCCCTCCCCCGTATATGATAGAAATAGTATACCTTTGATCAGTTTTATTTTTATGACATGTTTTGCAGCTGTTTAAAATCTGGTTTTTGTCAGAGGGCATCAATATTGTATTCTCAAAACAAGAAAGTGTTCCCTGGCAAAGGAGACAAATAAAACGATCTTTACTACGGATACTTTTGAAACACGGGATTTCCTTTACTTGGCAGGAGCCATAGCATTGGGTTTTAATTGCGTTCAGAAAACAATCTTTCTCTGGCCCCACCTGCCCTTTCGTCAGGGTGGACTCACTTGTTCATTCACTTAACCAATATTTATTGAGCGCACCAGCTGTCTGCCCGGCACTTGTCTAGGTGCTAAGGAGATTCTGATGAGCCAGACAGGTGAGAGCTTACATGGCGTGGAGGGGAGATAGACCGTAAACCAAGCCGGAAGCTGATTTCAGAGAATGGTGAAGGATTTGAAGAAAGTCAAAGCAGGGTAATGTGACTGAGAGTGACCTGAGGTAGTATAGTCACTATCTCTGGGAGGTAGGCTCGGGACTCAGGCATCTGACCCAGGCTGTGCGCAGATATGTATCTTGAGGTATCTTGAGCTCCTTCTACATGGTGCTAGTTTTCCTTCTGTTTCTCAGAGAGCACCAGTCTCTGGTACCAGCTACACAAAAAATCTAAAGGAGCTTCCTCTATCATCAAACACAGTCAAAATGCCAAGGGCTGGAATCAATGCCTGACCGAAGGCAGGGGGACAGAGCCAGCCTGAAGTGACTCTGAGGAAGCTCCTTGTATTAGTTGTGGGGCCGTGTATCTGCACCCGTGGCCTGGGGGTTACCAGTCACTGACGTTTAAACCGAGGACTCTCCATTCTGCATCTCACCTGGATGTGTCCCTCAGCTTGTCCATTACACATGGCCAAGGGCCAGATGGAAATATGTTTTTTGGTGTTGCTTTAACATTTCCAACTCTACAAAACTGAGCCTCTCCCCCTGCCCTCATCCCCATCTCCAGTCTATCACCTATTCTTCATCTCAGCAAATATTACCATCTTCCAAGATGCTTCCCAGGGGGTAATCCTTGACTCTTCTGTAATATCCAATTAAACACAAAATCCAGGATTTCTACCTCCACAGGTGTCTTGAATTTACCCACCTCTCTCCATCCCTAGGGCTGTTACCCTATCTCAACCTATCACTTCTTGTTTATGTTAATGTGACCACAGTCTTGGTCCTTGTATTCAGTTATTTACACTGCAGCCTGAGATTCCCTTCTAAAATAGAAGTCTGGTGAGGCCTTTTCACTCCTCTAAATCCTTCCATAGCTCTAAACTGCCCTCATACAAAGTTGGATTCCAGGACATGGTGGCTCCCAGTCCCTCCATGGTGCGGCTATTAGCCTCTATAGTCCACCCTCTCCCTGCCCCCAGTCTGTAGGCTCTAACCACATCTGTTAGCTCTTCATTGGTGCCATATTCTCTCCTACCTCTGCCTTTGTGGACATTTCCCTACACCTAGAACGCTTCCTTCAGTCCCACCTCAGTATCTTTGACCTGGATAAGATTTATTCCTTTTGAATGTCAAACGGTGAAGCTACTTCCCCCAAAACCCTCTAACCACACCCTACCCCCAGCCCAGAGTTTGGGTTAGGATCCCCATTGTGTGTTCTCATAGCACTGTTTTGGAATTGCCTATATACCTGTTTAAATACATGTGTATGCACTTGGGGCACCTGGGTGGCTCTGTCAGTTGAGTGTCCAACTCTTGATTTCAGCTCAGGTCATGATCTCAGGGTCATGGGATCGAACACTCCTCCCTCCCCAATCCAGGCCCCGTGCTGAGCAGGGAGTCTGCTTGGGCTTCTCTCTCTCCTTCTGCCCCTTCCCCGCTTGTGCAAGCTGTCTGTCTCTCTCTCTCCCTCAAATAAATAAATAATAAATCCTTAAATATGTATGTATAAATATATATATATGCAAGATTGTAAATTATATGAGAACAGCAGCTCTCTCTGTCTTGTTTCCTATTGTATCCCCTGCAACTAGCATAATGCCTGGCAGAGTGGGCCTGCCGTGAATATTTATTGATTAACGGATGGCTATGTCTCCCTTCCTAAATTTTGGTTTCTTTGCTTATCCTTAAAAAATAAAACCACCTTGTATAAATTAAAATGTCATATGCTCATTATGGAACACTTATAAAATACAGAAGAGAGTCTACCATCCATCTCAGTACATAGAATGACCCCTGTTATCACCTTGTATATATATTATTTTCATTGTTGAAATCACACCTGTCTGCAGCTTCTTCTTTTTTTTTTTTTCAAAGATTTTATTCATTTATTTGACAGAGAGAGAGAGAGAACAAGTAGGCAGAGAGGCAGGCAGA